AGTTTAACAGAACAGCAAAGAAAGGGAAAACAGGAACAACAACAATACCAATAAGGAGAATACACAACACGAACAGCAGAACACAGAGAGCCGCTCTCACCCACCACCCTGCACGCTCCCGAGCCGTGACTCCCTTCCCGCCGCCCAGCTCCCCCCAGCCAGAACACAGCATGACGGCATCATCTCACATCTGCTAAACACTGACTTGATGACTTTTACCTCAATTTAGAATTCTTCTCGCTAAATCAGAAATATCGTGCGGCATAATTTCCCGTTTACCTTGAAATACAAGAAGTCTTTGACACTTCAGAAGACGTAGTTATTCTAAGTTTTCAGCTTTTGATTTATTATGTGGGTTTTGATCTGGTTTTTTTTGTTAGTACTGCATTTTGGTGTATATCTGAGAAAGCGAGCAAAAGAGTTTAGGAGTGCATTAAAACTGACTCAACACTTTATCACCCACGTTTGCTTGAAGCTATTACTGATCTATCATCAGAAACACTAGATGCCTGCCTATACTTCACATTAATGACTCCTAAATGAAAGGATAGTTTGACGTGCAAAACAGCATAGGCAAGCAGTCTAGGAGTAACTACAAAAGTATACTGCATTTAACTTTTTTTTTAAATTGTTTTCTAAAGAAAAATGTGGCCTTCTGACTTTGATTATTATGCATCAGTGGAGGGGAAAGTGAAAAGTGCTCCTTCCTTCAACAGTAATCACAACCCCTATTAACGTAAACACCATGGAAGTCTTCAAACCTTCCTATAAGCTACTGTTATTCAAGCAATAGTTCAGTGTGCTTAGCTGAACAGGAAGCTCTCTAACACAGGCAATGTGCAAAAGTTAATAAGACAAAAAAGTCTTCTGCTTTTTAAAACACAGAGCCCATGGAGCAGAGATACATCCCTGTTCTGTGCCAGAATTTTTATAATTCAATAGCTTTCTACAATAATTTCCACTTAAAAATCTTGATAGGCATAAAAAATTATACTTCATAACTATAAAACTACAGTACGCAACATTTAAAAGTTTCCTTTGGGTGTATGCGATAGTCTAGCCCAACAATAAGAGAACTGCTTCAGTGGTACTTTGTGTGCTCCTTAAATGTAGAGGAACGTAAATGGAGGGCAATCTCCTTTTGCCACTCATTTGTCTTAACAATAAATCACAAACACTGGGTTGTCTGAATAAAAAGACTGTATTTGGCTAGCACCAGCAGTATCTCTTCATGCAGACTCTGCACAGAGCTGTCAGTTCATTTCCTTTCAAAAGCTACTGAAGCAGCTCGTCAGCAGGAGGAAGGCCAGGAGAACTCCTAGAGGACACTGCTAAACCTCTTACCATAGCTCTACTACCATAGTTCTACCTCACAACAGTCAGCTTTGCAACACAGATCTTGTTTTAAAACCACAGTCTTGTCCATGTCATACAAAATGCTAAACTAGAAAATGTCACCATTTGTGTGTCAGATCCTGTGTGTAAATTTTACATTTCCAGTGATACGACTGACACCATCTGGAAAGATGTCATACAACAGCCTGAGCAGAACTGCTGATGGGGTCTCTGAAAACACCACTAGTCTCCACTAGGCAGTAATAAAATTGAGAATTTCAAGATGCTCAGTCTGGTAACATTACGCTTACAGCACTGAGCAAGGAACTTCCCACACACTTAACAGTAGCCTCAATCACAGGTGAGTATCTGTGTTGCAGTAAGTCCCAGACTTTGATCACAGAGTATTTTCACAAGAGCTACTGAGACCTGAACTTTTGAAGCAAGTTCTCTTTTAAAGTCTTTTTACTCTTTCTTTAATATATTGGTTGGACTAGTGCTGTATGTGTTGGACTAGATGACCCACAGAGGTCCCTTCCAACCCCCAACATTCTGTGATTCTGTGATATCCTCCCAGTGTTTTTTTTCCTGATGTCCATCCAGTAACACAAGATATGCAAGTCAGCCCACACATTACCTTCAACAGATTCATATCTGACAGAAAAGGTTTGAAGTAATGAACTAAACCAAACCAACTTTTTTCTTTCTTCAGCTGTGTACTAAGAAAACGCCTAGAAATAGGAGATACAGTCTCAAAAAGATCATACTCTGGTTAAGGCAAAGGACTGGAAGTCAACAACTTTCAGTCTTTTCCCTAGCTCTGTCTCAGATCCTTAATAACCGTGGGATGTTTTCCACATCTGAAAACAACGACAACAAGAACTGTCTCACAGCCTCCAAAAGTACTCCAGAGACTTTATTCTTCAGTGCTATTAAGAGAGATAAAGTGTTTCTCAGGAGGCAATGAAGTGTACAACACTATTCTTTCACGTGGAGTGGGCTGTAAGAACTATGACATCGGGCAGGATGACCACTTGTCCTTCTGTCTTCATGCCTACAAGTATTTGAGGCTGACACCTGGGCCTCTCAGGTATCACTGCAGTTCTTTGCTTCTCTGAGCAGAAAATGAGAAGGCCCTACGTGGTCTCCACAGGATTTTCTGTATTTTACAGTAGTAATGTAGGGTTGCTGGCTACTGGTAAAATCATTTAACTTTGTCTGTTATTGTTTCCAAACTGTGCAGATGACTTCTAATATACCGTTGCTGGCGTACCTCTACACAGGACAGCATTGTCAATGCTTGCAAGACCGTATTGTGAGAACAAATTTGCAGAGTGTGAAGGTGTATAAATGGATCCACATTTGAGCATGAAACTAGGCAGATGCCACCTATGGAACTGACTGAGCAGCAGATCAGAGTCAGATGATTGGCTGAAAACATCAGCTTCCAGTTCAAAACACTTTCAGACTAAGCAGTTGTAGAGGAAATGACGCCTGCAAATGCTTGAAGATCAAAATTCAGAAGCACTGAATTCTCTGTGTAGGGGCTGAGAGCAGGGGGGAGAGGAAAACCTGTCATTCATTGGTTTTGCATGTTTATAATTGACATGCAAAACTCTTTTCCATTCAGTGTAAGTATTCAAAATGCTCGTAGTATAAACACGTCTATAACAGAAATTGTCTGTCCTCTTTAGAAATACGTTCCTTATTAATTTTTATCAGAAAGAAGATGACTGATGTTGGGCCACCAGTTTCTACTGGAACATTGGTCTTCCTGACGGCTGTTGGATTCAGACTAAAAATTCACCAGAGCTACCGCAGCTTCGTAAGTTTAGTGAGTAAACATTTGTTTAATTAATCTTCGTGCTGAAGCTCCCTGTGAATTTTCCAAATGAATGTTTTTACCCAAAACTTGATTATGTGGTGTAAAGTCAAAATCAAATGTTTCATTGCAGATCTCTCTTCCTCACACATACACACCGCGCCTCCCCGGTCCCGCCGCCTCTCTTTTTCTTCCTTTTCAGTAGAAAGGCAGAACCTTGCAAGTGACCATTCAAACAAACTCAGCCTTGATATCCTCACCCCCACTGGGTTTGCACACAGGAAAAAAAGGAATAGTGCCAAAAAATATCCGACACAACAAATAAAACCAACTGCTGTAGTCCAAATGTACTTAGAGTAATTTTCATTCCTATTATAATACTCCGTAGTCTAAGGCACTTCTATATTTAAACCCTGAAGTTTTTACCATAGAAAACAACAGTCCAGTGTAGAAAAAATACAAAGGAATTTTCTGTGTTTCTTTTGTTCTGTTTTATTCTGGTGGGTATTTAAATAGGTTGAATGACTTGTTTGTACACACATAAACTTGAAAGATGCTAAAATCAGAATCCTTTTTATACAGAAAAAATATCTATTCTGCTGACACTGGCCGTCGGTGCCCTTGTTCACGGGGAATGTGGTCAGACCCGTGACGTCGAGGCGGTGCGTCAGGAAGGCTGCGCGTGGCGTTGTGATGTTTGCGTTTTTCGTTGTCTTTTCTAGAAATGGAATTTCCGTCTTCGTTCACTAGTACTGAAAGGGCGTTTGTTCACCAGCTCTGCCAGTCCCTTGGATTGATATCTAAAAGTAAAGGGTGAGTTGGAGTCTGATTTTTGTTTATCATTTTCTCTTTTTGGAGTAAATGTGTGGAATTTCACGACTGTCGTTAAGCTGATCCGTGTTTCTAGCACGTCCTGCGCTGTTGCAGGGAGTAGCAGTGGAGAAAACACTTTAAAAAGTAAGATTAAAAATCACAGAATCACAGAATCACAGAATAGTAGGGGTTGGAAGGGACCTCTGTGGGTCATCTAGTCCAACC